ACCTTGGTTGCAGGCACATCCCCAGGAGGGGGTGTGCAAGAGGCAGCTGATCGATGACACTCTCTCATCGATGTTTCTAACTCTCTCTCTCCCTTCTTCTCTGTTTAAAATCAATAAAATATTTTTTTTTTTTAAAGTCTCACAGTCAATTTTTAAATAATTTGTCTCCCTGGCACTATGGACTTAATTTATTCCTGGCTCCTCGTCCTTTCAAGTTTCAATCTATCTATTGTTTCAAGCACAAGGAGTTTACAGATGATGCCATAACTAACACTGTCATTCTTGGCTATTCCCAATCCACCTACTTCACCCACTTTTTCAAGATCAAGTTCAAACTTACTTTCATCTTTCAGAAACATCTCCTAGCCCAACTTACTGTGAACCACACTTGACTCCAAACCATCTTGTATTGTTTTCTTTCCAATAAAATGTATATACCTAAAGATAGGAAATATTGAATAGCTACTTATAACTCCCACAGTGCTTAACACAGTATTGGACACTTAGCTCATGCCAGTAAGTCACAGATAATCAGATGGAAGTGACTTTAGTGATCTAGCCCAAACCCTTTATACATTACTTTTATGAATTATGCTTGACAATCAGAATGCCACCATCTACTGTTTTTAGAAAACTGTTTCTTAATCTTTGGATTAGGAATCTGTAGTGGGGGAAAAACTCACATAGAATCTTCTATATAATTTCAAGGATTTACAGAGTCCCTGAATCCTATTTTTTTTTAATTAAAAAATATATTTTATTGATTTTTTTACAGAGAGGAAGAGAGAGGGATAGTTAGAAAGATCGATGAGAGAGACTTCGATCAGCTGTCTCTTGCACACCCCCTACCGGGGATGTGCCCACAACCAAGGTACATGCCCTTGACCGGAATCGAACCGGGGACCTTTCAGTCCACAGGCTGACGCTCTATCCACTGAGCAAACCGGTTTCGGCCCTGAATCCTATTATAGTAATGAAGCCCACATTATTTTGTAATCCTCACCTTTTTTTGAGAGAAGAAAGAGAGGGAGAGAAACATCTATGTTCTAGAGAAACATCAATTGGTTGCCTCCCATAACATCCCAACCCGATCAAACCTGCAGCCTAGGAATGTGTCCGGACCTGGAATTTAACCCAAAACCTTTTTATTCTGTGGGATGTGACTCAACCAACTGAGCAACCTGGCCAGCTGAAGGCCACATTTAAGAATAATATATTGTCTGTCCTGGCCAGTTTGTTGAGTGGTTAGAGCATCAACCCTGGGACTAAAGGGTCATGGGTTCCATTACTGGTCGGGGCACTTTCGGGAGTCAACCAATGTTTCTCTGTCTCTCTCTGCTCCTTCCACTCTCTCTAAAAACCAATGGAAAAAATGTCTTCGGGTAAGGATTAACGGGGGGGGGGGGGGGTTGGGGGGGGACAGATTACCAGTTAATCCCATCAGGAACCCTATAAAATTGTCATTATTATATCCTGATATTAGAGATCAGAAAAATAAGGCACTGAGTACTTATAAAATTTGCCTGACACTCCTGAAGCCAGATCCAAGCCAAGCAGTCTTGCCCCAGGGTCCAAGCACATTCGAAACCCTGCCAAAAATCTCAGAAGAAACACCATTCTTATGTGTTAAGCCACTCTGCACAAGACTTCTTTCTTCCTTCCTTTTTTTTTTAACCACCACAACCCCAATTCCTTACTATCTAATAGGAGTTTCTGCAACTAAATATGTACATACAAAATGACAAACTGCTTGGCTCAGTGGATAGAGCATCAGACTGCAGTCTGAAGGGTACTGGGTTCAAAATAACACACAATTAGCACTGACTTGCTTACTGTGTACTATTCACTGTTCTATCCCATATATATTCACTAATTTAATCTCATGAGTTTGGTCTATTAAGAACTCAACCATGCAGATGAGGCACAGAAAGGCTAAAGCAACAAGTGTTGAAACACACAATAAATGAACAAATTGGATTAGAAACCCAGGTAGCAGTCAGACAAGACCTTGCTAAAGAGTTTGAACTTCACCCTCTTGGTTGGTAGATCCAACTGGGGCTGGTGTTAACAAAATACATATACCTCCCACGTCCCTCAGAGTGGTGGAAGTGGGCATCCACCCTGTTGAGGATGACTGCCTTCGTAAGCCTCTGTACTACTGGGAAGGTTCCTGTCCTAACCGTGTTGAGGTAAACACACAAAAATAGACAACTGCCGAAACCGGTTTGGTTCAGTGAATAGAGCGCTGGTCTGCGGACTGGAGGGTCCCAGGTTCGATTCCAGTCAGGGACATGTGCCTTGGTTGCGGGCACGTCCCCGGTGGGAGGTATGCAGGAGGCAGCTGGTCGATGTTTTTCTCTCATCAATGTTTCTGACTATCTATCTCTCTTCCTCTCTGTAAAAAATCAATAAAATATATATATTTTTTAAAAATAGACAGCTGCTGTTATACAGGGGATGGGGATCACTGGGCTCCAAATGGTTCCAAAAACAATATTCCCCAGGGAGGGAAATGCAGCTTTGCGTCCAGTCACACTAGTTGGGAAGATCCTAGCCTATTTCTCTTTAAATTTACAGCTATCTAAATTTAGGTAGGCTCAATGTTTTTCACTTGGGCTATAAGTTTAGATAACAGTTTTCTTTTTAATTTTTTGTATTGATTTCAGAGAAGGGAGAGGGAGAGATAGAAACATCAACAATAAGAGAACCATTGACTGGCTGCCTCCTGCATGCCCCTTACTGGGGACTGAGGCTGCATGTACCCTTGACCGGAATTGAACCCTAGACCCTTCAGTCCACAGGCCCGGCACTCTATCCTCTGAGCCAAACCGGCTAGAGCTAGATAACAGATTTCTGCTACAGAAACCTTTTGGCAGAATAATTAATACGGTTTAAAATATCACTCTGGACAACCATGGCCTCTGCCCCCTCCCTCACTGCTTTCAAAATAACTGTATTTACAAAGGTATTTTCCCCCATTTGCATTTTCCGCACACAGGTTTTGAGAAGAAATGAAAAATACTCTTTACCACAATTTATCTGCCCCCCTACCTTTTTTCTCCTCTGAAACAACTCCCCTGGTTTACATCAGTACAAAGTTTTGCCTATATTGATTCACCAAGCAACAGAAAACATTTCACCTTTTACTTCAGAAACGAAAGTCTCAGAAAGGGAAAACAACTTGCCCAAAAAAAACAAGCCAGTGAGTCAAGAAATGTGACTTGAGCCCTAGCTGGTTTGGCTCAGTGGACAGAGGGTCAGCCTGAAGACCAAAGGGTCCCAGGTTCGATCCCGGTAAAGGGCACGTAACTTGGCTGCAGTCTCCTCGGGCCCTGGCCGTTTCTCTCTCACATCGATGTTTCTCTCTGTCTTTCCCTCACTCTTCCACTCTCCCTAAAAATCAATGGAAAAATATCTTGGGTGAGGATTAACAACAAAAGAAGAAATGTGACTTGAACCCTGATTCTCTGCCACTAAGGCCAATGAGAAAGGCTTACAACTAGTGATAAACAGGATGCTTTTAGCTGGTTCACAAACTATCTTTATAATATAATCATCACACCTAATCCATAGTTTAACAGGAATTATTACTTAAGGATACGCTGTTTTAAAAAGTGAGTTGTAGAGCCCTGGCCAAGTGGCTCAGTTGGTTAGTGTCATCCCGTACATCAAAAGTTGCAGGTTCGATTCCTGGTCAGAGCATATACCTAGGTTGTGGGTTTGATCCCCAATCAGAGCACCCGCAGAAGGCAACCAACCCATGGTTCTCTCTTCCACCTGTTTCTCTCTCGCCCCCTTCCTCTCTCTCTAAAATCAAAAGACATATCCTCAGGTGAGGATTTTTTAAAAGGTGAATTGTATTTAGTAAACAATAATATAATACTGATCTAACACAAATACGGAAAGCTTGGAAGGGGTATGCAAATGACTCAAATTTGGGAAACAAGGCATCATGTTCTCCTTTTTTTTTTTAAATATATTTTTATTGATTTCAGAGTGGACGAAGAAGAGAGAAATAGAAATATCAATGAGGAGGATCATTGATCAGCTGCCTCCTTCATGACCCCTACTGGGGTTCAAGCCCGCAATAGCGGCATATGCCCTGACCAGGAATCAAGCTATGACCTCCTGGTTCACAGGTCAAGGCTCAACCACTGGGCCACACCAGCCAGGCCTCTCCTAATGTAATGGTTAAATTAACAGTGAGCAGGGCCCTGGCCAGAGCGACTCAGTTGATTGGGCATTGTCCTGCACCGAAAGGTTGCTGGTTCAGTCCATTTCGGCTCAATCCCAGGTAGGAGACATGCAGGAAGCAGCTGATTGATGTTTCTCTCTCCCTCCCCTTTCTCTCTAAAAATCAATAAAAATATAAAATAGTAAGCAGAGCATTAAGCATTGCTCTCTTCCTCTCTAAATTATACACCTCATTTTTCTTGTGTTACTAGTATTGTACTGATAGGACCTCCAGTAAAATACTGGAAAGAAACCATTCCTGATAGTATCCTTATCAGATTCTAAATGTAATGCTACTTCTAAAGTTTCACCATTAAGGATAATTTTTTTTTTGGACTTAGTAGATATACTGATTTTTGAGTTTATGGAAATTCCTTCCTGTTCCTAGCTCAGTAAAAAAAATTTAACACTAATCTCTGACCCCAGCCCCCCTTCTCAATGCTGCCTTCCATCTTTCTCTTATCTCAGCTTCCTACATTCTCTGCACCTCTGAATACTCTTATCTGCCACCCAAAGTAACTGAGACTCTTCTAAAGTATTCTGGGGTTTCTATACCTAGCTCCTGTTTCAGTAATCTTTCTAAAACTGGTAACCTAAACAAAATCCTAAAACAGACACTTCCGTCACCTGCAGATCAGTTCTTCTCGCCATGCCTCAAACACACCCTTCCAGTCTTCCTTCGTTAAAATAAAAACTCAAGAAAAAAAAAATGAACAAAATTGTTCTGGATTCCTGTTAACATTCCTTACTAGCCCAGCTTTGAATGAGTCTGCTGAAGTAAGTGACTAGAGGATTAAGAGTTGTTTTTTTTTTTAATATAGTTTTATTGATTTGAGAGAGGGAGGAGAGGGAAGGGAAATACAAATATTGATGAGAGAGTATCATGGCTCAGCTGCCTCCTGCACCCGGCTTAAAGAAGTTTTGAGGAAGGCAGCTGGATCCAGATGTGTCTAACTTCTACCCTCTCCTTTGCTCAAATGAAAAAATATTCACACACAAAAAAACACAAAGAAAGGGACAGGGGAAGTATCGGTAAGCAAATAATTCCAGGCTCTAACAGTTAAAGAGACCAGAAGGGGGGGAAATCGGCCCTTGAAAGCCCAATCAAGTTATGATCCCTTTCCCTCCTCGGTTTGTCTTTCAAAACAAAAGAGCGCACTCAACCTTCCCCGGAGGCTGCAGCAGCGCCGCGGGGAGCAGCCAAAACGTTGCATCAGACGAGACACTCCGCGTCTGAGAAACAAGAAAACCAGATGGTGGAAAACACCAGAGCAGGAAAGCCCGGGCTGGGAATCGCGGGCTTTTCCGGAAGCCAGGAATGTCTGCTCTTTTTAAAAAAAAGAAAGAAATGAAGACTGCATGGGAAGTAAAGTTAGTTTCAGCCCAGCGGAGCGAGAACTGTTCGCAAAGCGCCGAGAAGTTGAGTTCATCGCACACCGGCCTGAGGCTTCCGCCGGGAGGAGCGGGGGTCGGGGCCCGCGAGGCGGAGGTCGGTGACCGGACGCGCCCCGGCCCCGGACCCGGCCCCGGGGCTCCGGGGCCCGCGGGGAGCAGCGAGTCCCACCCGGACCCGGGACCACGGCGTGGCGTCCGCCGGCCCCCGGGCGGCTGGAGGCGGTGACGCCCGGCCCCGAGCGCTCCTTTTCGGGGCTCCGGGCCCCCCTCGGGCTCCCAGGACCGACCGACCCCGGCGGCGGGAAGGAGCGGGAGAGCCCGACACAATGGGCGGGGGCGCGGGCCGCGCTGCCCCTCAGCCCCGGGCGCCGCCGCGGGGGGCGCCTGGGGTGCGGGGGCTCCCGCCTCAGCCCAGGGACCCGCCCCCGGCAGCCCCGCGGGCGCGGGGGACTCGGCGGGGCGGACGGCGGACGGGCGCTCACCTTGACGAAGAGCTCGATGATGGGCTCTTTGTCCTCCTCCTTCAGCCCGTTCAGCGGCATCGACAACGCCATGGCCGGCTCGACGAGACTCCGCGGACAACGGTAGCGGCGGCCGCCTTTGCTCCGGGGATGCTCGGGGTGGGCTCCTGCCGCGCGGCGCCTTCCTGGACGGTCCGGGCGTCGAGCTCACCTCAGGCTCCGCCGCTCAGCACCTCCCCACGCCCCGCGCGCGACTCCGGGGCGGCGCAGCCCGAGCGGCTTTAGCCCCGGGGGCGGGGCCTGGCGGGGCGGAGGGGGCGGGGCCTGGGGGCGAGCCTGGGGGGCGGAGGGGCGGGGCCTCGTTGGGAGCGGGTCCAGGCCGGAGTCTCGGAACTCGCAGGAGGAAATGGGCGTGGCCTCGAGTGAGGACCAACGACAGGGGCGTGGCCAGGCTCGGGGGCGTGGCCTAGACGCCGGCGGTGAGCGGGTCTCCGAACCACTCACACCAGGGCGGGGGCCGGAGCCTCAGCCCGAGCCTGACACCGCCTCCCGCCGCCCCGGCGCGGGCGCGGCCACGCAGCTGCCCGGCGGAGCGCCAGGTGACCTCATGCTCCAGACCGCCCGGAGGCGAGAAGGCGCTTCCTGCCCTCTCCCTAGCTGCAGCTTCGGATTCATTGCCCTTCCCCGAAGCGGCCACTTCCCCAGCTCCCTCTGTGAGATGGAGCCGCCTTTTCCAGGACAACTTTTTGAAAGTTTTCATCCCCTTAGAAACACTTATGTTCTCTCCTCTGACGTCTTTGTTTTTCGCTTTGACTCTCCCGTCACATTTTGGGAGGCAGCCCGGCACCCAGGTGAATCCAATGAACACCAAGTTTGCCAGGCCCCACTGTGTTCCAGGCCCCGGGGGTAAACAGCAGGGACAGGAACCCTCTCCTCCCGTAAGGGGTCTTGAACTGAACCCCAGTGTCTGCAGGCCACGAAGGACTCCCAAACCGTGTCCGTGCTGTTCCTCCGGCCTAGAGGGATCCCCCCACCCTCCCACTCACCTGGCAAACCTGAGTGTCCATCGGCTCCACCTGGGTGCTATTCCCAGCCCTGCACCATCCAGCTCTGATTCTCTCCAGAGAAGGGAGAAATTCACATCTTAACAAGCACCAGGGCAATTTGAATGCAGGGATCCTCAAACCAGAAACACTGCCCTGAGGGCAGGGCTGGGACATTTTAAGCCAGCCACCCAGTAGCACCCGGTCCAGGCTTGGTGCTGTTGAATACCTGGACAAATGTCAGCCTCTCTGGAAACAGTTAACTTGTTCCCTCTCCTGACTTTCTGTAATGTTTGACTCACGGCTACTCCTTCCTAATTCCCTGGTTAGGCTGGACGATGCTGGAAAGGCCACACGTGGATTTGTCTCCACATCCTTAGAGCACAGCAGTTTCACAGGCGACTTAATTTTCGAAGAAATTAAACGTATGCCTAAAAATACAGCGAAACCTGCAGCTTCTTCCTCTCCCGGACCAAAGCAAGTTGCTGGCATATTCCTGTAGGGACTCTGATAAAGAGACAGTGGACTCCAGAGGTTAGGAGCACATGCTCTGGAGTCAGACTGTCCTGAACCGTCCAGGTGTCTAAACCCCTGAGCCTCGATTTCATTCCCCCGAGGGCAAGGACAGCTACTGGTCCCGGTGTCCTGTTCATGGTGATGGCTATTGTCATTGCACGGGGCTTTCCATTGCCCCGTTCCCCCTGTAGGCTGGCATGGCATCCTATTCAACTCCCTTCATGCCCGGCTGAACTTTTGAAAAGAAAAGGAACACCGGGAGGCTGCCCCCTGAATGCGGACAGGAGCCAAACACAAACTGAGCGCCTGGCTGGACTCTGAACTGGACCCAGTGTTGGTTCTTCAGGGAATCACGAGCTATACCAAAGTCCCCTTCCAGCCTCCCCTCTCCTCTGCCGGGAGAGGAACCCAGATGGTGGGCCAGGGCAAAGCAGATCCAAGATCTACACCTACAAGACCAAACGGGATCTCGGAGAAGGCCCGCGTGGGCCCTGAGGAACGGATGGTCTCAGAGGTGTGTCTGAGGGCTTATCAAATTCAGTTTGAATCCGAGGATATTTGCTGTGGTGATGACCTGGGCCTGGAAGACTGAGCAGAGGACGGGTGTTATTTTTAGGCCTCGTTGACTAAACTTGGACCTTGGCTTGGAGGAAGCCAGCAGCATTGTCCTCCAGAGCCCTGAGGTGGGGGTGATCTCCCAGGCCCAGACCCAGAGGCTCTGCTTAGAGACCTGGTCGCTGTCACTCACACCAACATTTCCCCATTTCCACCCGTGTGGCTCACTCACAGGGACGCTCAGAGCTGACAGAGAGAGAATGTTTATGCTGGGGAGGGTCCGTAAACACCCTGCCCTCAAGTCTCACCTCTGAACTTTGAGAAGCAGGCATATTTTGCATTCTATACTCATGGTTTTCATAACACACACAGTGATGTGGAAGACGGGTGGAGACGTGCTCTCCTCCCTCCTCACCCCGTCCCCCCCACCTTTCTGACCTTATCTCTTATTACTCACCCCTGGGCTCTCCACCCCAGTCGGGTAGCCTCCTGGCTATTTCCTGAGCATGTCAAGCACGCCCTCACCTCAGGGCCTTTGCACGGGCTCTCATCCCTGCACAAAACATTCTTTCCCCAGAATTCCTGCAATTCCCAAGCCCTGGCCTCCTTCCTTCCTTCGGGTCTTGGCTCCAATGCCACCTTCAGGGAGCCTCCCGGAAGCTTCTCCTGATGACACACTTCCCCCTCCCACTCCTGACTCTGTGGAGCGGCTGGCTGGCTGTCTCACCCACCTTCCGAACTGAGGCAGCAGAGTCAAGTGCTATGTACGGCAGACTCTGGGTCAGATCCTGCCTCTGTCATTTGCCAGCTCAGATAACTTTTTTTTAAAAAATATATATGTTATTGATTTTTTACAGAGAGGAAGGGAGGGGGACAGAGAGTTGGAAACATCGATGAGAGAGAAACATCGATCAGCTGCCTCCTTGCACACCCCCACTAGGGATGTGCCTGCAACCAAGATACATGCCCTTGACTGGAATTGAACCTGGGACCCCTCAGTCCTCAGACCGACGCACCATCCACTGAGCCAAACCGGTTTCGGCCCAGATGATTTTTTAACATCTCTGTGCTTCCATTTCTCCTCAGTAAAATGGTCTGAAAATTATACCTGTTTAATAGGATCCTTGATAAGTAAATTTATGTTAAGTGCCAGGAAAGGGGCGGGGCATGAGGTAAGTGCTCGGTAGGGACGAGCTGTAGCTATTATGTCCGATTGTCCACAGCCTCCACCACTGAGCCCCCATGCTGCCTGCCAGACACCTGGCTGGGTGCTTTGATGTCCAATCACATTTATTCCCCCGGGTGTTTCAGTGGCTTTCATTGTCCCCATTTCACAATTAAGGAAACTGAGGGTCAGAAGAGATAAGTACACGTTATTCAGCTGGGAAAGTGATGGAGCTGAGATTCAAGCCCACATCTCTTCACTGCACTGTCTGCTAAGGGGGTGTGGGAAAAGGCAGTCTCTACCCATCCCTCAAGGCCCAACTCACAGCCGCCTGCTCCAAGGAGCTTCTTCGTGCCAATGCTTTGGTCTGAACTCTCTGTCACCCATCACAACAGTCAGGGTGGTGTTGCAGTTGCCAACGTGGGCTTCCCTAGCAATCTGCCTGTTTTTTAAAAATATGTTTTTATTGATTTGAGAGAGAGAGAGAGAGAGAGAGAAAGAGAGAGAGAGGAATATTGATGAGAGAGAAACGTGGGTTGGCTACTTCCCACAGGCCCCCACTGGGGATGGAGCCCACAACCTGAGCATGTGCCCCGACCAGAATATAACCAGTGACCTCTCAGTGCATGGGAAGACGCTCAACCAACTGAACCACACTGGCCAGGGCAATCTGCCTGATTGTGAATTCCAGTTGGCCAGTTTTAATTCCTAACTCAAGCCAAGTTTCCTCATCACTACAATCTATATATATATATATATGTATAAATATATAAAAAGCCAGCGACCAGAAAGCTGTAATGACTAGGACACTGGTCGCTATGATGCCCACTGCGGCCTGTGAACCGGCCAGTTCTGGGGGTGGGACCGGCCTGCCAATTTTCCATGGCCCCTCCCCCCAGCTTCTCTGTTCTTGATCGGCCTCTCCCACACTGATTGGCCCACAGCTCCTACCCTGATTGACCCCCTACACAACAGGGAGCAGTGCTGGCCAGCCAACCTCCTGCAGCCCCTCCCCCCTGCCTGGTCCCACCCCAGATCAGCTCCCTCACCCCGATCAGGGGCAGGGCCAGCTGGCCAACCACCTGCGGCCCTCCCTGGCCACTGACCCTTAATCTGCCCCCCCATCCCAATCAGTGGTGGGTCCACTGGCCAGTGGCCTGCAGCCCCTCCTCCAAGCCAGCCTGGCCCTGATCTGCCCCTATCTGGACAGACCAGCAGGCCAACTTCCTGCATCTCCTCCTCCTGACAGGCCCAGCCTTGATCTGCCCCAATTGGGCCAGGCTGGCTGGACCCCACCTGTGCACGAATTTGTGTACTGGGCCTCTAGTAGAATATAACAGAACCTAATTCATAAAGTTGCTGTGAGAACTGAAAGAGATAATCCATGTAATGCATTTAATAAATGTTAGCTATTATTACTATTCTTGTTTTTTTAAGTATGGAACGCTTCATGAATTTGCGTGTCATCCTCGCGCAGGGGCCATGCTCATCTTCCCTGTATCATTTTATCGATAATTTTAGTATAGGTGCTGCGGAAGCGAGCACTAGTATTCCTATTCTTAGGATTGTCTTCTTTCTTGGTAATGTGTGAGATTCTCAGAGTGCAACGACCCTTGTCATATCCACCTTCACTTGAGCAAAATATTTAACTTCCCAGCTGTGTGATTTTGAGCAAGTTACCCTCTCTATCCCTCAGTTTCCTCATATACGTAAAGTGATGGTAATGAGCCCGGCCAGCATGGCTCAGTGGTTGAATGTCGACCTCTGCATCAGAAGGTCACAGTCTGATTCCCTTTCCCTTCCTCTCTGGAATCAATTTAAAAAAAAAAAATTTTTTTTTTTTTTAATGAATAAAAGTAAAATGATGGTAATTACCATAGGTACTTCATAGGGTTGTTATGGAGATGAAGCAGGTTAATACATGTAAAGCCCTTTGCCCACTGCCTGGCATGTACTAAGTGTTCAATCAATAGCAGTTATTATTTTCATTCTCCCATGCCTAAGTCAGCGCCTGTGGCGTAATAAGGTAAAAACAGTCAGAGTGAAAGAACAAATTTTTAAAATTTCAAACGTTGCCTTTTTCCCACTTTCCAAATTTTCTGTTGTGTTTTTTTCTCTCGCTGCGCTTATAACAGGTGCTCTATTCATCTCTGGCGATGTCGGTGAACCCAGCTATGGGAAATTCTACTGCAGCTTTGAACTTCAGCTAGGTCCCCTGGTGTGTCTGAGGTCCTATGAAACCTTGCTAATTGTGACTTCCTCAGAGCTTCGGCCAAAGCCCTACCTGAATGCTGTGTCCCCAGAAGCACCAACCTTCCCTGCCTCTTTGTAGATCCAGGATCCTTCTGCCAAGGGCCATTTGGGTATTTATAACATAATTCACGGGCCATACAGAACTATCAACTTAAAAACTAGTCTGCTGCCGAGACCGGTTTGGTTCAGTGGATAGAGCATCGGCCTGCGGACTGAGGGGTCCCAGGTTTGATTCCCGTCGGGGGGGATGTGCCTTGGGTAGGGGTGGTGGTGCAGGAGGTGGCTGATGGATGGTTCTCTCTCATTGATGTTTCTGACTCTCTGTCCATCTTCCTCTCTGTGAAAAATCAATAAAATGTTTTAAAAAAAAAAAACTAGCCTGCTGTATTTGGCCAAACATTTAATTAACCCACCCCCATGCCTCGGCAGGGCCAGACCAAATGATTTCACGGCCTTATATGGCCTGCAGGCCAGATGTTCCCCACCCCTGCGCCAGAGGAAGTAAAGTCACCCAACAAACACAGGCGCTGGAGACAATCAGTGCAGCTTTGCCAGGCTCTTGAACAGAGTGCCAGGACTGAGTAGTTCTTGGCCACAAGCCCCAGTGGATGGACCTTCTTTAAGAGGAGGACATCCAAGTACCATTTGTAACAAGGATCTAATGGAGAAAACTGGGGCTCAGAGAAGTTAAGCCATTTGCCCAGGGTCACACAGCTGATAAACGGCAGAGCCAATAAGCAAACCCAAATCTTTTTATCCTCGTTGCCCATGCCCTGCCAGCCACCTGCTCCTAACACTGCCTCAGAGAGTTCTTTGGAGTGTTAAGAAAGATAATACAGCCTGGCCAGTGTTGCTCAGTGGTTAAGCATCCACCTCTGAAGCAGGAGCTCTCCCTTCGATTCGCCATCAAGGCGCATGCCCAAGTTGCAGGCTTCATCCCCAGTATGGGACGTGCAAGAGGCAGTGGATCAGTGGTTCTTTCTCAGCATCGACGTTTCTATTATCTCTCTCCCTCTCCCTTCTTCTCTAAAATCAATAAAATTATAAAATTTAAAATATTTTTTATTGATTTTTTAGACTGAGAAAGGGAGAGGGATAGAGAATTAGAAACATCGATGAGAGAGAAACATTGATCACCTGCCTCCTGCACACCTCCCACTGGGGATGTGCCTGCAACCAAGGTACATGCCCTTGAACGGAATCGAACCTGGGATCCTTCAGTCCACAGGCGACTCTATCCACTGAGCCAAAGCGTTTAGGGCAAAATTATATTTTTTTAAAAAAGAAAGATAATACATAAAGTTTTTGACATAGTGTAGGCATGAAAAAGTCACCTTCTGCTTCTGCACAAACCCCTTCCCAACTCCTTCTCTCACTTGCCTCATATCCCTAGGTCAGAAGGTTTTTGCCTAACAGGCCCGGTTTCAGTTCAGATTTCAACTCTGTCGCTGACCAGGTTTGGCAAATCATTTCACCTTACTGAGCCTCAGTTTCTCCTGTCAAGTGGAGGAATAATGTCTCTATCAGAGTCTTCTGTTGAGTTAGAGAAAGAAGGGAAAGTTTGAGAGATCATTGTTCATATTTTTAAAAATTATTAACCAACCATCGGTAGGCACAGGATCTACTAGTTTGGCAATCTTCAACTTTAGTTGCAAAGAAAAACAACTGGAAATTGATTACTAATAATAAGAAACTTTATGAAGTTGACTACAATTAATAAAATTTTTTTTAAAAAACCAGTGTCTTCCTTTATATGAAGCTATATTTGTTAGAAATTGTAATGGAATAAAATATCTCATTGATTAAAAGCAACCAAAAATATAAAAAATACCTGAGAAATAGAAAAGCATCTTAATAATATGTGCAATTTCCATTTGAAAAAAAATGTTAATGCTTTTGAGAACTATATACAGGGCATCCAAAAATGTATACATGTTTTAACAGCTGATAGCTCAATTTTGAAAATGAAATGTATTTTAATAAACACTGCCTTTATAATTATTCAAAGTGTGTGTGTACATTCTTGGGACACCCTACAAATATGTATATATATTCACAAAAAGACTTTGAAAATGTTTTGATAAAGACAAGTGAAGTAAAAACAAAAATAAATGAATGGGACTACATCAAACTAAAAAAACTTCTATGCAACAAAACAAACAAACAAACAAACAAAACAACCCTCAAAAAACAAGGTTCCCAGCCCTGGTGGGGTGCATGCAGGAGGCAACCAATCTGTGTGTCTCTCTCACACTGATGTTTCTCTCTGTCTTACCCTCTCTCTTCCACCCTCTCTAAAAACCAATGGAAAAATATCTTCTGGTAACGATTAAATAAATAAATAAATAAATAAATAAATAAATAAATACAATGTAAAATTTAAAAATAAAAAAATCAATAAAAGTTTTAAACAAACATAAAACAGATTGAAGGAAGAAAAAAGAAGCATGTCTAGCCCTAGCCAGTTTGGCTCAGTGGATAGTATCAGTCTTCCGAAGGGTCTCAGGTTTGATTATGGTCAAGGACACATTTGTGGGGCACGCAGGAGGCAGCTAATCAATTATTCTCTCTCATCATTGATGTTTCTATCTCTCTCTCTTCTTCTCCCTTCCTCTCTGAAAACAATTATATATATTTTAAAGAAGTGTGCCCAACATGGGACTAGGACACAAAAAGAAAATGCTTTGATAAATTAAGAGGCATAATCTATTCTGAGGATAAGGAGACTCAAAATTATCAGGTTATTTGGTCTTTCCATATTAATCTAAAATTTATTGTGATACTCCTATATCACCTTGGCATGTAATATATCATTTGCATTTCTTTCGGGAAAGGTGCACAAGAAATTGGTAACAGTATTTACCCTCAGAGAGAGGAACTGGTCTCTGGGGACAGAGGTGTACATTTGATAACTACATACTCTTTTGTTCCAGAACTCTAAAATTTTGTCCTATGGGTATGTATTTCCTAGCCAAAAATTGATTTTAAAAAAAAACCAAACAGTTAAAAGCATTCAGAGTGCAATTAGGTCTAAGCGACCTGGGGCAGGGCTCATTCTCCGTGCCACCCTGGCTTCCCCCACCTGTTCCCATCTCACTCCTTCCCACCGCAGCCAGCTGCTGCCCCAGAGGACTGGTCTTGGGGATGGTGACCAGCCTCTCTGTGACAGGTTCTCCCTCTCTCTCTCTCCCTCCCCCCCTCTTTCTCCCCCCCCCCTCTCTCTCTCTCTCTCACACACACACACACACACACACACACACACATTATTAAAACAATTTGGGTGCAAAGCACATCTGTTCCTCTGGGAGCAGAGCAGAAACTCTACCCTCAGCCCCTTCTGCCTCATCTTGGGAAAGTTAACAGGTTTCGTTTTGTCACTGGGAAGCGGCTCAGCCAGGAAGGGCGCCGAGTAGCTTGGGGCCAGGCTTAAATTGGATTGGATCCCTGCGGAGGCCATTAGCCTCTTGCTGCAGCCTGGCTGAGAGGAAATACTTCCTCCCCATCCCAGGCCCACTCTCACACCCCAGCCAAGGTCCTCAATGGCCTACTACCCGAATAAGGTATTGTATTAAGCTTCTAATTATTATTCTCCCTTTCATTTGAACCGCTTTTTACTTTTTTCCAGACACCAGCAAGTACTGTATGGTGAGCAGGCTGATTTGGTCTCTCCATTCACTCATGCCACAAATTTTTACTGAGGGTCTACTCTGTGCCAGGCACTGTTCCAGACCCAGGACGGACGGACAGCATCTTGACTTTCACAAAGGTGCATCTGTTTGAGAAGTCAGACTTGATAAGCCAATACCCAGCCCCACTCGCCTATGTCAGAAGGTGTTGAATGCTACGAAGAAGAATAAAGCACAGGAAGGGAGCGGAGAGGGACACTGGGGCACAGAGTAGGAGCAGTCTCTGATAAGATGACATTTGAGAAAAGGCCTGAGAACCTGAAGATGCTATCTCGGGAACAGTGCTCTGGCAGAGAGAACAGCCAGCGCAGGAGCACAGGCAGGCGTGTCCGCGGTGAGTTAAAGAAAAGTGGAGAGAAATCTGAGGCCCACGGTTCGGCGCATTGTTTGCTGAGACATCCTGCCACCACCCGTTCAGTGACGCTCACCCTTTCCTCTGCCTGGTGAACACTGAAGGGTGGCAGAGGGGTTAGGAACATGTCTTTAGCCCTGGCTGGGAAGCTCAGCTGGTGAGGGCATCGTCCCAAGATTTCAGGTTCGATTCCCCCATTAGGGCACATTCCAGAATCAACCAATGAGTGGAA